TCTACTACTGAAAAAGCTGCAGACATCCTTACCAAAGGACTACATAAGAGACAGTTTGAAGTTTTAAGAAGCAAGCTAGCTATGGAAGACATCTACAAGCCAGCTTGAGGGGGAGTGTTGAAAAAGAGATATTTGGTTTTAATAAGACCAGATTTTAGGGGATATGATAGGCGTGTAAATATAGATAGTCAATGACTAAGATTTCTGTTAGTGTACAGCCTGTAGTCACATCATGTAGTTTCCTGTTACAGCCTGTTAGTTTCCTTTTTTTAGCTCATTGTATTTCCTATTTAACTAAAGCATTGTAAACCATTCTTTGTACGGCAATATACAGATTCTTTTCAATCTTGAAATCGCTTATTCTTCACACCCCATCCCGTTGAGGATACAGTAATGGCTACTCGAGCCAGACTGGGTGGAATGAAAGATTCTGTGATGGCCATTGCTAATTCATCTTCTCTCACAACTTCTATAGGCTCTTCCTGAGAAGTACTCCCTTCGCTAACTCGGTGTTGGGTCCCCCTCCACTTCTATTGTGTCTTGGGTTGTCTTTTGCTCGTTAACAAAATCGAGCTCCACCATAACACGGGATGCTTCCTCCATTGGTGCACTTGTAACATCAACCTCAGAAGGTTGAATAGCATCCACCATTGTTTCTCCGGGAACCACATGTGCCGCTATTACTGGCTCTATGGCACCAAGACAATATGGCTCTAAGTTTGGCGACTCACCCTCTCCCTCCTCGCCAAGTCCCAATGACTCATCACCTGCCCAGAGATAACATTAGTAGCTATTAGCCTGTGACAACGCGAGACATAGCCTCGACTGGCCACATTAGCCCGTCCCGAGCATAGTCAAAAGATTGCAGGACTCTTGAAAAATCAAAGGCATGATGTGAGGTTCGGTGGGCGGGAGCAGGCTTGTGAGAGGCAAGGCTCTAGTATGAGCTACGTGTGCTCACAAGTCTCACATCACCTAGGTGTGGAAAGTTGAAGTGCCATATGTAGGTTTATCACCCTTCTATGACACAACGCATTTTAAAGCCGTGATGACCGTGAATCTATCTGAACTCCAAAGTTGAGCGTGCTTAACCTGGAGTAGTACCAGGATGGGTGATCTCCTAGAAAGTCTCTTGTCCGGGGGAGTAAAAAACGGATAATATTGTGTCTGGGTAGGGTGAGAGCCGTTACACAGGAACATTATAAAACTCACCTCCCAGAATTTCTCTCTCAAAGCGGCCAAGCACCTTCTTACTTCCCTCCTCCCTGTTGATAGCAATGGTTCCATCGAGCCATATTCACCAAGTTCCCTTTAGAGCTCACCACCACTTCCTCTAGCAACGGGGCCCGGGTCCCTATAACCCTCTCACGAGGCGGCACCTCAATTAAGGTATTGGTGGTTACATAAGCAGTTCCCTAAGCTCTTCATCAACTCTGCTCGCCTTCGCTCAAGTAGAAGAGCGGGTAGCAGGACCTTTTCTTGTGCGCGAAGAGCTCGCGCCACCTTGCACTTCAATCACAGGGGCCCTTACCTCGACAGTTCCACCTTCGAGCACCCTTACTTGTTCATTTCCCTTTGTCTCTTCTGCTTCGAGCACTTCTCCCTCCTCAACAACGGCTTGGATATCGAGAGGCACAAACCGAGAAAAGCCTCCTCGATCCCCCTCTCGGGGCAACCTCAAAGACAAATCGCCTGCCCACACTGCGCGTGCAGGAGCCCTCTCTGTGAGTATCACAAAAATTCTTAAAGGCCTCGAGTGCCAATCGCCTCACCTTCGTCGCAAAGGAACAAACCATTGATTTAGCCCCTCGGTCAGAATATTGAAATTTGTATCAATAAATCGTAGAAAACTACTACGGTAACTCCCTGGTTCTTGCACAACATTCTGAGCTCGAGGAACCTTTTGATCATACCCAAACTGGCGTCCAACTACCTTGGGTTATATACCTCCACCGAGGTCGAGTTCTCCAGGAGCGCCGGCAGCGGGCCCAGTGGGACAAAGTCTAAGAAAATAAGGTGTTCGTATGATATTTCCTTAGCACCACCTTCCATCAAACCATCCCCATGAAAGTACATAGATAAATAACCCAGCCCTTGGAATAGGAATTGTAAAGGCGCGCCACACAAACTCATGATTGAGGTCTATCGCATGAGTTAAGCCCACACGAGGGGCCCCACCAAGCCATCGAAAGGCTCACAACACAAGATTTGCTGGCATTCTTCGAGGCTGCGGTGCATAAATAGGAAACCTCTCATACAAAAAGATTTGTAGAAACAAGCTCAATGCATACGAGTGAATCAAATAGCGTCCCACAAAGCGAATGGAGTCTGTCACAATCATATCCAGCCTATGATACAATGACCCCAAAAATTGTGGGGCAAAATGCAAGGGCACCCCACTAGAATTTACTGCCATCTCGACTAGCCGTCCATGCATGGTATCCTTGGGTGTGCCATCAAGAATGAATCTCGCAAGCCAACAAAGAAGATATGCAACAAGCTTGACATCCCGACCTAGCCATTTGCCGTCAAGCCTTCAATGCCGCACATTTGGCACTCCCTTCTTCACTGCATTGTGACAGCTTGACGCCACCCTTACCAAATTTCGAGCCATAGGTCTTTGCCTCCTCAATGGCCATCGCAGGTTATTCGCGATATTCCGCTCATCGTCATCAAGCGCGAGCGAAGCTGGATTCTTGTTGCCTTCTCAACTCAGCTCATGCAATTGACAGACATCTTTGAGGAGTTATTTCGTCCCACGCGGTAACAAAAGTATTAGTAGAGGTGCTCCATCTCAACACCAGCAACTCTACAACATCATGATCTCTAGGGATCGTCATATTCCAAAACAGACAAATCGGATCTAAAACCCTTGTGGCGTCTAAACGGCCCACCATTTTCGGCGATGTCATAATGTTATCTTTCCATTCGTCCCATACATAACTTGGGCTATGATGCCCCAGCAAATCAATAAAGAAGAAGGGAATACGCCATTGCTCAATATTCAAACGAAGCACAGTCAGATGGCGGCACTAGCGGCTCAACCCCAATGTCCCCTTCGGCTTCCATCACCTCCATCACCTTGGAAGGCTCACCCTCCCCTACATACACTCTTGATCGATACTATTGATACCAAAAGATGTTAGTATCCCCAAAAAGGGGGCTCTATACCACTCGGTATCCGGCATCACAAGCGGCAGTGGCTCATCTCTCTTGCTTAGTTCTCTTCTGGGCGGCATTGCAGTTGTTTCTTTCAAGCTTTGGAACGCTCTAACAATGGCAGACGACCTTCACTAACTTCGGTTCTCTTATAACTCAACTCACTTTGCCTATAGATTATAACCATTTTCTTCTCACTTATGCATGTAATATTCTCACAAACAACCCATGCACATGGGGCTTTCCCGACTTTTATAACCCACCACGATGGTACGCGAAGCGACGCCTAATGATGGGCTATCACTATGCACACTTTCAATCACACTTGAAACGACAACATTAATTGAACCATCATGTCTGCTGGAAACCCTCGGTACATGATCCTTCTCTATGCACACGCCCCCTCCCAAACAGGACAAGCATGCGCGCAAGGGAACTAAATGTAGGGAATAGATTCCCATAGGTCCACGTGTCACCCACATGGACCTTGAGCCCACGCCGGTGTGATACAGGTCGAGCTTAAGGAAACCTTGACAAGGTACCTCGAGAGAGACCGCATGACCACATTACGAGTTTGAGAGCAAAGCCTTACTAGAGGCGCTTGAGAATAACACCTAGAAACGCAGCGCACCAGAATGAGACCAAGGTAGGATGGTCTCAAGGGCTTGCAAATCTTCACTTGGGATCTAGAAGGACCTTTGGTTTGGAGGATGAGAAGTTAGAGCTCGCCTTAGCTAGACCTAGCCAATGAGATGATGAAATCACGTGCCTCGACTAAGACACTTCCAATTGCATTTAATGCGCTCAGCTACCTTCGCTTTGGAGGGGATCGGTGCATTTAATGCTAAAGAGCATCTCCACAAGCTAATAGACCATTGTAACCCTATGAGACCTAGGAGACTCATGATTGCCTAGCGAGATAGGCTCGAGCTCCAAGATGAGTCTCGAGGGCAAGGCAATTGTCTGAGGCTATAAATAGGGCTCTCATGCATGCATGAATCTAAGAATGAACAACCTTAAAACATCAGACAAGGCCAAATACATCCCTACTTTCATCACAGCTCTCATTGGCTAGTCTTCTACTCCTCCTCCTTCCTTCCTGGGGCTTCTATCCGGGTCACTCAAAGTTTGTGTTTTGGTATCACCCTTGATACTTGTAGCTTCATCACAATAAAGAACCCCCACATCTTCTGAAGTCTTTCCTAACATTATCATGAACCTCAGACATTGGAAGACTAATTATGTCATATTCCTGTATCTGTTGAGCCTTGTATTGTCAAGTTCGGGCTGTCCATTAGTTCTTCTCTATGGCTTCTTTGATTTGCTTGTGAGAAAAGGCAAAGCTTTTACATTTATTATACTTAAAGAACTCTGAATCTGATTGGTTATAACATAGTTCTCATTTATGTTTATGCTTACCTTTGTTATACTAAGTATTTCAATCAAAAAAAGGGGAACCAAAAAAAAAAAAGACGAAAAAAAGGAGAAAATTTCTTCTCCCCATTGTATCACATTGCCTTCCACTGATCTTTGCTGTATTTTGAGTGAGAACTTTTTTCAGTACTTGTTAATGGAAGGGATATCTGTGTTAGAGTTCTTCAATTCTGTTAGAGAATTGGTAACATTATTTCCTGTGACATTAATACTGTTTTGTAAACTCCATAATCTCTTGTTATGGCTTTTGCAACCCGTTACTTCTTTTAGCTATGATGTGCCATGTCTTGTGATTTGTGGAATGGGCCCTTTGTGCTATTCTGAGTTCTGTCTTAAAAATGAATCCAACCTGAAAACATCTTGGGAGGAATCTACATTGATGTAATTGTTTTTTTTTTTTCTTCTAGAGGCATTTGTTAGAAATGAAGGAAGCTGTTGAGCGTCAGCGGAAATCGTTGAAGAAACGACAATCTGGTAAAATTTCTTTTTTGTTTTCCTTTTTAAAGTTTTTATCTTCATATATATATATGTATATATGAGTATCTGTGTGTGTGTGTATTTTTAAAAAGATCTTCATATATTTACTATTTTTATTTTCATGCTACTTTTGAACTTTGTTTGCCCAATTCTAAATTGTTTCGGTGTATGTTAAGAGCCCACTCAATCATGTTGCAGTACAACTGGGCTAGTTGAGGAGGCTCCCTTCAGTCTCCTCGGGCAAAAACTATCTTTGATTTGTTACAAGCTAGTGCTAATGCTGTTCCTTTTTTCTTTATTTTTGTTATATTTTAATTTGGGCACCCAAGCACATGTGATCATGCTTGCTTTTATATGTCCTCCTTACAATCTAGGATGCTAGAACTCACTTAGATTGGTTGTATTACATTATTTTTGTCCTCCTTTCTGAAGCAATTTTTTCTCCAATTGTGTGCAAACTCAGCCTGGATTAAGTACTGATCCAGTTAGACTGCCCTGACTGGCTGTCTGTCTTGGTGAGTTGGTGTGCTAACAAAATGGTAACAAACTGTGTCAGTTCATTTTTTCAACCGATTTGGTTAAGTAGTTGCTTTTTGCATGGAACTGCATTCAAGTATTTCAGATCCTCATCATCCATGTGAATGTTGATGTATTGATCTAAGAAGAAATGTCTGTCACTATACCTTTCCCTCTCGTAGTCATCATACCTGTTCTTTTTGTCAATTTAGTGAAGTTCTGAGTACTAATGGTTTTGATTATTCCTTTAAGATAAAGGCGATGGAATTGACACAGAAATAGGTGTTCAGGAAGAAGATATTCTCATACAGGATGAAATCTATAAATCACGTCTAGCCAGCATCAAGCGTGTAAGTTTCCTTCTTACTATAACTGCATTATGATCCTTCACATGTTCTTATGCTATTGTGGATTTCCTCTAGGAAGAAGAGGCTTTAATTCGTGAGAGGGACCGATATGAACTTGAAAAGGGAAGACTTATACGTGAAATGAAACGCATACGAGATGAGGATGGTTCACGTTTTAACAATTTTCAAATTTTGAGTCACCGATATGCTCTCTTAAACCTTCTTGGAAAAGGAGGATTTAGCGAGGTTTACAAGGTCAGACCTTTGGCAATTATAGTCTGTTTTGATTAATGAAATATTTTCCCTTGCACGTGTAATAAGCCAAAAGGCTCCATTTGTTGAATCAATATTCTAGATTTTTCCTTTGCCTAGATTGGCAATTGGGAGAATACACCTTCTTGCAATGATTTGAAGTAAGAAATGGCAGGCTTATGACTTGGTGGAGCATAGATACGTTGCATGTAAGCTTCATGGTTTGAATGCTCAGTGGAGTGAAGAAAAGAAGCAAAGTTACATACGACATGCAATCCGGGAATACAACATTCACAAGACCTTGGTGCACCGTCACATTGTGCGGCTTTGGGACATTTTCGAGATTGACCAAAATACATTCTGCACTGTCTTAGAGTATTGTAGTGGTATTTGTACCTTCTCATCTATTTTATCAATCATATAAATTTATTTTGTTTGTATAGGTTTTTTTTTAATTATTTTTTTGCACCAACAACCAAACCATACATTCAAACTTAGGGAAATATTTTTGCACCAACAAACAAACCATGCATTGGAAGTGATTACCTTTACATTGATTGGAAAATGATGAATTGTTTTATGATATTATTGCTTTGGAATTGTTTTATAATATTTCCACTTTAATTCGTTACCTTTAAATCCCTTTTTTTCCCCTCAGGTAAAGACCTTGATGCTGTGCTTAAAGCAACACCTATACTACCGGAGAGAGAAGCTAGGATCATTATTGTTCAAATATTTCAAGGCCTTGTATACTTGAATAAAAGAACACATAAGATTATCCATTATGATTTGAAGCCCGGGAATGTTCTGTTTGATGAACTTGGTGTTGCCAAAGTGACTGACTTTGGTCTTAGCAAGATAGTGGAGGACGATGTTGGATCCCAGGGTATGGAACTAACATCCCAGGGAGCTGGAACCTATTGGTGAGTAATGTATTAGTTTAGCATTTCCTTGTTCTTTTAAATAGTTGAAATATGTTTTCTATTTGTGTACGGAAAAAATAATCAACTCCTTCGCATCTTGAGCTTATAATGGTATATCTTGAAACTTTCTTGGCATGCTAGGTTTAAATTGCATAATATTCTTGTTTACTTCTCCCTCTTCTCTAACTGTGGCATTGGGCCATGTAATATGCAAGTATTTTTTAAATGTTACTGTATCATAGAACTCAAAACTCATCCTGTGTCTAGTCTTGTGCTTTTTAGTTTGCAGATGGTTGTAAGCCCAGAAAAGGAGAGTTGTATTAGGTAACTGTTATAATTGGAACTTCGCATTGACAAATTTATAACAGAAGCCAGAGTCTATAACTTTTGTTTCATTTTCAAAAGTTTGTTTAGTTAGTTAGTGGTGGAACCTATGTCCAAGGTCAGAATCAAAATTTGAAGGTACATCAATGAGCTTACTTATCAAAAAAAAAAAAAAATGAAGAAGATACATTAATGAGCAAAATGATAAAATTTCTTCTTAAATAACTCACTCACTCATTAGGGTTCACAACCATGCATCCTTATAATCACTCTTTTTTGGGCACAATAGATACATGTTTTGATTCATGGAAATATGGGCCGAATGCATGAAATTGTTTTTGGAGTAAATCTATTTAAATAAGAAATTACAAAACCAATGATGCTATCTTTGGGAGCACTGAATTGGCGTTTGAACTAAATTTCCTCCAATTTCAATTCCAAGGCACCGATTCAGTGCTGCCGGTGTTGTTAAAGGTGCGCCTAGGTGTGCCTAGGTGCGAGGCGCTGGTCTAGCACCTGTTGTCAGCCCAGGCGCAGTGATGTTTACTAGGTGTGTGCCTGGGATACGCCTCCTGTTTGTCAGGCGCACCTAGTTGCACAACTCGAGCCTGATTATTTAAAAAAAAATTTGATTATTCTAATTCTTAAGCCAAGAAGGGAACCTTTGTTAACTTCTGAGACTTTTGTTCAAAAGAATAAACAAATAAGACAGACCAAACGTATCAGAGAAGGAGAGGAAGGAACGAGAGAGAGTTTGTCGTGGCAGAGATGCGGCCGGAGTCCACTGCTCCGACCAGTCACCGGAGTCATTAACTCCGGTGAAATCCTGTGTCATTTTTCTTTTTGTTTCCCTTTTCTCTGTCGGCTGTGTGTTTTCGGTTTCTGTTGCGTGGATTTGCTAATGAAAGTGCTGGAGAGTCAGAAGCAGTCTTATTTGGAGGTTGCTCTTTTACCTCGTCTGGACCTAAAAGGAGAGGTGGAACGGATTCCTTCCTCGAGGGATCATGTGTTTAGAGTGGACACTCACAGTTCTTCCTCTCGAGAACGTGTTCTTAGGGCTTGTCTGGTTGGGAGATTCGATAGAGAGGTGGGGTCTTTGGAGGACATTGAAGATTGGGCTACGAAGACTTGGTTGATTTCGGGAGGAGTTAGGGTGAATTCTTTGCCGGACGGACTTCTGTTGTTCCGGTTCCCGTCGGTGTTGGAGGCTCATAAGGTGCTGGATTGGGGCAAGAAATCTTGGGGTGAGGCTCAACTCCTTATTGACCCCTGGTACTTTAGGGTTGGGTGTTCTGGTTTGAGATTGAGGCACAATTTCCGGCGAGTCATTCTGTATGGTCTGCCGCTGCACCTTTGGTGTCAGAAGCTCTTCGTTGCCATTGGTGACGCATGTAGCGGGTTTAGAGATGTGGAGGCCTTCGAAATGAGTGATACGGAAAGAATTGTGATCACTGTGGCTGGGGGTGGAGTGATTCCGGCGAGTGTGGTTGTGGAGGATGGAAGATGGGCGTTCAGAATCTCGCTTTCTGAAGAGATCGATCCGATAATGGTCTCGCTGACTGGGACATGTTTCGGAGAAAGTAATTCGGGATCACCGGAGGCGTTGGCTTGCATCTCTCGTTCGGTTTACAGTCATGGAGGTGGGGATGGAGCTAAGCCGGTTTTCCATCAGAGGGAGATGCAGAGTAACCAGACCCAAGGTCAGGGACGTGTGAACAGCCACGCGCCCAAGGCACGTGGAATTGGGAAGGCTTCGTCTGGGACACGTGGTTGGAGGAGAAAGGATAACCGTTTTGAGTGGATGACAGCTACCCTCCCTCGTGCCGAGTCACGTGCTACTCTTGATATTTTAAATTCATCTTCTTTTGGGCCGGGTGGTGTTGGGCCTAGATTTCGTGGGACTCATGCAGCGGTCTAAAAAGCCACTGGGAAGGATTCTTTTGCGTGGGGTGGGCCTAGGTCATCCATTGGGCCGAGGCGGGTCATTAAGTCCGTTAAACGGGATGGACGATCTAAGCAATCTGGGCCTCTTTGTTCCTCTGGACCGGTTCAGGTGAAGACAAGAGTGGATAAAGGAAGGTTGGTTAAATGGGGCCCAAACAACCATCTCTCAATTTCCTTCCACAGTGGGTAGCCCATTGCATCCTTAGAAGCAGGTCAAAGTCATGGCATTCCAGAACTTGACTTGGTTTCGTCACAGAGAGTTTCGATCTCACATGTTTGGTCGAGAAAGGAGAAGGCGAATTGGGTGAAGGTGAGTTCGAAGGTGTCAAAAGGGGCTGGGGCTAGCTCAAAGAATTTCCGGCATGGGTCGTGCTGTCAGAATCGACTATTGGGTAACAGATTTGAAATCCTTCAATCTGGTTTTTTGGGAGATGACGAGAAAGGTGAATGTGTTTCTATTAAGAAGGATGTTCCATCTCGGAGTTTGCCGATTATTCCCAGTAAGAAATGGACTAGGAAGGACAAACAGAAATGGGTGGCCCGTAAGGTGTCTCATTCGTGCCCAGGTATGTCGAGTTCCTTTCATGCCCGGAAACCTGCATCTTTTTCTATTTCTGCTTCTACTCCCTCTTGCGAGTTGAATAGGAAAGGGGGTGAGATTGTTGCTGGGAGGCATCATTTGCTTTCACCTGTTGTTGAGGCTGAATTGGTGGAAGGGATGATCTCTACGGTTGGCTCGGAGTTTGGGACTGTTGGGCCGTCAGAAAGGGATGGGACGGTTTGCTTGTCTGGTGACAGGGAGGTGGATAGACACTCTGTAGTGATCGCCGAGACTTGTTCGGAATTTTCCTCAGCCTCTAGGTTTGACTCTTCAGGGGAGGAGATGGGTAGGGAGGCTAAGCTCCGTTTGGGTGGATCGGAAGGGGTGTGTTCTTCTTTTAAGGGTGATACAGTGGCTTGTCTGAAGGATCTTGTGCCTGATGTGGTGACTGTTTGCGTGGGTAAAGATATCCGCATCTCCCTCAGCGAGGAATCAGCTTTTCTTTTGGTGAAGGAGCTGCAGAAGCACAGATTCTCGATCGATGACCATTCTGTTGACTGTAACTCGGTCCCGGTTACACAGAGTGATGTGTTGGATATTAGAGAGGACTGGTTATCATCTGTGGATGAAGCTGTGGAGGCCAAGGGAGGTATGGCTGATGGGAGCAGAATGGATCAGGGGAGTTCTCTGGATATGATTTTGTGGGAGGAGGAGGGTTTTGCTAATTTGGGGGTGGTGGACCCTTCGTCTGTAGTTCATCCAGAGGAGATGGGCACCAAGGTGTGTAGGCAGGAAGGTGAGGACACTGGATTGGATTGGGTTAAGGCTAACATTGGGGCTACTTGTGATCTACTGGGGGTCTCATGTAAAGGAAAGCGTGATCAAGCCTTGGCAATCCTTCAGGCCACGGCAGAGGGGAGAGAAGGGGAGATGATTCAATTTTCCAGAAGGAGGAGTAGGAAGAAGAAGAACCTGACTCCGGGAAAAGGGGAAAGGGAGCTTAGAAATTTGTGTTGTGATGTGAATTATGATAGAGTGAGTGGGGGGGAGAAGGAGAGGGGTAATGCTAAGGGAGGAGGGAGGGGTAGGGGGGTGAAGGGGATGATTGTTTCCTCATGAAGTTTTGAATTTTATCTTGGAATGTCCGCGGTCTGAACGATCCGGGCAAGCGCAGGGTGGTGAAGATGGCAGTGAGGAAATGGGGGGTGCACTTGGTGTGTCTTCAAGAAACAAAGATTGATTCTTTGTCTGATCGGGTGGTGAAAAGTCTGTGGGGCAACCGCTTTGTTGAATGGGAGGCGTTGGATGCTGCTGGGACTTCAGGAGGTGTTCTTATTATGTGGGATAGGAGATGGCTGACTAAAGTTGATGTTTGCAGAGGGAGATTTTCCTTATCTTGTGCTTTTGTGATGGAGGAGGATGGCTTCACTTGGGGTTTTTCTGGGGTGTATGGGCCGATTGATGATGTTGAGAGGGATGGTTTGTGGGAGGAGTTGAGTGGGGTGAAGGGGAGGTGGTCTCTTCCTTGGTGTATGGCAGGTGACTTTAATGTGGTTAGATCTCCGGCGGAGAGGTCTACAGTTGGCCCATGGACCCAGGCTATGATGCACTTTTCTGATTTTATTGATGGCCACCAGCTTATTGATCTCCCCCTTGAGGGAGCTTCCTTTACTTGGTCCAGCGGAAGGGAAGTTCCAACTCTCTCTCGCATTGATAGATTCTTGATTTCAGGTGAATGGGAGGAGAAATTCCCGGATGTTGTTCAGGCAGTTTTGGCTAGGGTGACGTCGGATCACATTCCTTTGGTTTTGGATTGTGGAGGTTTGAGACCTCGCAGTACTCCTTTCAGATTTGAGAACATGTGGCTTCGTGCGGTTAACTTCCAGGAACTTGTCCATTCTTGGTGGGAGGAGAATCTGGTGGTGGGTACATCGAGCCATATCCTTGCCGGAAAGCTTCGGATCTTGAAAACAAATCTTAAAAGGTGGAATAAGGAGGTATTTGGGAGCTTGGTGTGGAGGAAGAATAGGGCTTTGGCTGATATTGCGGAGATTGATCGATTGGAAGGGGAGGGTGCTATTTCGGAATCTCAACGCAGTAGAAGAGCAGCTTGCCAGGCAGAATGTGTGGAGATTGCTCTTTTGGAGGAAATCTCGTGGCGTCAGAAATCTCGGGCATTATGGCTCAAAGAGGGGGATCGTAATACGAAGTTTTTTCACAGAACTGCTAATGCTAATAGGAGGAGTAATCATATTGGGCGGATGTGTGTGGATGGTGCAGTTTTGTCTTCGGAGGAGGAGGTGCGAAGTGCTATTGTCTCTTTCTATCAAGGACTTTATTTTGAGCCTCTTCATTGGAGACCTCGTCTAGATGGGCTTCACTTCGATTCTATTTCTGCCTTGGAGAGAGATGAGCTGGAAAATCCTTTTTCGGAGGAGGAAGTGCTGAAGGCTTTAAAGAGTTACAATGGTGATAAGGCTCCAGGTCCAGATGGTTTCACGATGAGATTTTTGCTGGAAAGCTGGGAGGTGGTCTGATATGAGGTTATGGGCACTTTTCATCAGTTTCATTCCACGGGGCAATTTGAGAAATCGCTTAATGCATCTTTTATTGCCCTTATTCCTAAAAAGGGTGGTGCTTCTAATATCAAGGATTTTAGACCCATTAGTCTGATCGGGTGCATTTACAAGATCATTGCAAAAGTCCTTGCCTTTAGATTGAGGGAGCACCTGGATGGAGTTATCTCTGAGTCTCAGAATGCTTTCGTTGGGGGTAGACAGATTCTGGATTCCGCTCTTATTGCTAGCGAATGTGTGGATTCTAGACTTCGTAGTGGGATTCCTGGTGTTCTATGCAAGCTGGATATTGAGAAAGCCTATGATTATGTTTGTTGGAATTTCCTGTTCTATCTGTTGGAGAGGATGGGTTTTGGTGAGAGATGGAGGAAGTGGATTGTTTCTTGTGTTTCCACTGTCAGGTTTTCGGTGTTGGTGAATGGCTCTCCTTCGGGATTCTTTGGCAGTTCTCGTGGGTTGAGACAGGGGGACCCTCTCTCCCCTTTTCTTTTTATTATTGTTATGGAGGCCCTTAGCAGGCTGATGAGAAGGGCGGTGGATTTGGGTTTTCTTAGGGGTTTCAAGATTGGCCCTGAATCAGTTCAGCAGTTGGAGATCTCTCATTTACTTTTTGCGGATGACACTATTGTTTTTTGTGAGACTGATATTTCCCAGTTGAGGTATCTGCGATGTGTCTTGGTTTGCTTCCAGGTTGTTTCTAGTTTGAAAGTTAACGTGGGAAAGAGTGTGATTGTTCCTGTGGGGGAAGTTCAGGAGGTGGACACTCTGGCTGCTGTTCTAGGATGTGGGACGCAAAGCTTTCCCATCTCGTACTTGGGTTTGCCGCTGGGGGACTCGGCTAGGAGGGTGGGAAGTTGGAACCCGGTGATTGAGCGGGTCGAGAGAAGATTAGCGGGTTGGAAAAAACAATATCTGTCAAAGGGCGGTAAAGTTACGTTAGTGAAGAGCACTTTGTCAAGCCTTTCAACGTACTTTCTTTCGCTTTTTCGTATTCCAGCCTCTATTGTTGGAAGAATAGAAATGCTCCAACGTAATTTCCTTTGGGGGGGTCGCGGAGAAGAGTTCAAGTATCATCTTGTCAAATGGGAACAGGTTTGCAGGCCTATTCGGTTGGGAGGGCTTGGAATTAGGAGATTGGCCACTTTCAATTGTGCTCTTCTTGGTAAGTGGCTTTGGAGATTTGGTAAGGAAAGACATAGATTATGGAGAAAGGTTATCTCATGTCGCTTTGGGGAGGAGAGAGGAGGGTGGTCAGCTGGATCAGTCAGGTCTGTTGGCGGAGTGGGGGTGTGGAGGGCCATTGGTAAGGGGTGGGATGCCTTTTCCAAACATACTAGATTCAAAGTTCGGGATGGAAGAACTATCCGGTTTTGGGAGGATCCATGGTGTGATGATAGGCCTTTGGCCCTTTTGTTTCCCAGGCTTTTTAGGATTGCTGTTGACAAACATGCAATGGTTGCTGACTATTATCGCCTTGATAGTGGAAGGTTGTCTTAGGATGTGCGTTTCCGGCGAGCTTTTCAGGATTGGGAGCTGGATGATGTCACTGGGTTTTTGGCTCTTCTTTACAGACAGGAGGTGGAGGGGTCTGGGGCAGATTCTTTGATTTGGGTGCCTTCTTCTCAGGGGATGTTCCAGGTCCGATCCTTTTTTGTGTGCCTTTCTGGTTTTCATGGTACCTCATTCCCATGGAAGACGGTGTGGAGGTCTAAGGCACCTCTTAGGGTGGCCTTTTTTGTGTGGACTGCAGCTTGGAGTAAGATTTTGACGTTGGACAACTTGAGGAAGAGAAGACATATCATTGTTAATAGGTGTTGTCTTTGCAAGATTAATGGGGAGTCGGTGGATCATCTTTTGTTGCACTGTCCTGTGGCTCATGATTGTTGGAGTTTGATGTTTGGCCTGTTTGGTATTCATTGGGTCATGCCTCGGACATCTTGGGAGTTGTTAGATATGTGGAGGGGCCAATGGGTGGGGGCTCAAGTCAGAGTTTTTTGGAGGGTGATCCCTTTTTGTATTTGGTGGAGCCTTTGGAGAGAGCGTAATGGAAGATCTTTTGAAGGAAAGGAATCCTCCATTGGGGTGTTAAAATTTTCTATCATTTGTAATTTGTTTTGTTGGGGTCAGGGGAGAGACTACTCCTCTCTTGAGGAGATTGTTGACTTTATGAGTTCTTTGAATTCATAGGCTCCGTTTTGTCTTTGTATAGTTTGGGTCGCGTTCCCCTTTTTGAACGCTTTTAATTCAATTTACTTATCAAAAAAAAAAAACGTATCAGAGAAGGAACTTTTGTTCAAAATAATAAAGCCCAAGAGTCAAAGTGTCAAATGAACTGTCTTTTTTTACTTCTCTCTCTGTATTTTTTTTTTTTGGGGCTCTATCTACCAAACGTACCAGTGGAATCCCATGTTTTATTTGTTAGCTTCAGTTCGCTTGCTATGATAAGCAAGATGGTTTTAGTTCAAAATCTAAGTAAAACAAAACTAATGGACATGAATTTTGTGGTGTCTAGGCAACCATAATACAAGTAGCCAGACTTGCTTCTTGCTTTCTGACAGGAATGGCCTGACTTGATTCTTAATATGATTTTGGATTTCTCATAAAGGATGTCAAAACTTTGTTGTGATTGGAATTTGATTCAGGTAAGGCTTCTACAACGAATGGTATTTCACGTATTTATGGATCATTTATCCAACACTATCTACAGTGAAATAAATAAATAAAGTTCCAGGAAGATTTCTACACCTCACATCTACTTAAATTGTGGGAATATTATAATCTCCCTCATAATATTAGAAACCAATTTGTGATATTCACGTTTTACCTGTTATACTTGTAGGACTGTTTCTGGATCGTCCCTCTTAATCCAAATTGTCATATTCCCATCCCTCTGCAACTGTATTCTTCTCTTGGAAAGATGATTTTGAAAAATTTAATTGAGTACTGCAGAATCCAGATAAAGTTGAATGGTAATAAAAGAACTCATGTTGCTGATGATAAGTAGTGGAACTATTAGTTTATAAAATTGAGTTGAATTTTGTAATGAAGAATCCTTCCATACCTTTGTTCCCCCACTTGTGAACACGAATAAATGAAGTTAAACCCATCCTATTCTGATATTTTTTTTTTGTGTAAGCTTTGATCTTTACTTTGTAGCTGTTTACTGGTTTCTGCTCCATGATTTATTTTACCTGTTTTTCTTCTCCTGTAAATTCAGGTATCTTCCTCCAGAATGCTTTGAGCTAAGCAAGACTCCTCTCATATCATCAAAGGTCAGTGACAATGAACTTTGATTTTGCTTGTAAGGATATCTTATAAAAAATCAACCCAACTGTCTTTCGCCTGCTCCATTCTAAGCATGTAGTTCAATACCTGAAAGTTACCATTTTGAAGTGTTACTTACTTCAACAGATTGTCTGTTCAATACCTGAAAGTTACCTTTTTGAAGTGTACTCACTTCAACAGAATGTTTGTTAATGCTACTTTGTTGTTCATACAATTGTTCTTTTTTTTTTTTTTTCATCATCTTTTTTTTTGGCTTTATTCAGATTTTAGACCTCCTAAAATGTTACCCTTCTTTAAACAGGTTGATGTTTGGTCAGCTGGTATTCTATTTTACCAAATGCTCTTTGGCAGACGTCCTTTTGGGCATGACCAAACCCAAGAGAGAATTTTACGTGAAGACACCATTATCAAAGCCCGCAAGGTGGAATTCCCTTCGAGACCTGCTGTCTCAAACGAAGCAAAGGTGAATTTTTCACATTTGCTAAGTGCTGCCATATTTGTGTGTGTTCATTTATAGCGAACAAGTCACCATCTTTTCCCCATATGTTTTCTTTCACACAAAAACAAACGTTGGGAAATAGAAAATTGTATGCCCGGTACCTGAAATAAGGGGCGGAGCTAGAGGTGGGCATGGAAAGTTATTGAAATTTCTTCTATACCCTCGAAAAAAATGTTAGTATAAATGTACCTAACTTGTGACCCCCAAAACTTGTATAAAATTTTAATTGGCGCCCCAAAAGTTTTAAAATACTTATTTATTGGCCTCAATATCTATAAGTTTTCCCCTCTCAAAGCTCATAAAAAAAATTAATTTGGACCTTTATAGCATACTTTTGAAAGCAAATCATGTCAAATAAAATATAAATTCATTGTTATGGTAGTACTGACTGGAATGTATCATTATTTCATATACATTAATATTAGGGGTGGCCAAGGATTTGATCGGATCAGATTAGGCATCAATCCTAATCCGATCCGCTCTCCAAAGGATCAAACAAATCTTAATCCGCCACCGATCCGTTATCCCACGGATCGGATCCGTGTAATAACGGATCGGATCGGATTGAATCTGCGGATTGGGTTTTATTTAAATTATCCATTATTATTTTTATAATTAATATTATTTATTTATCTTTTAACCAGAACCCAATAGATAAAATTTTAATTTATTAATATTAATTAATATATTTAAATAATTATTAACTAATACATCCTTAAAGTCCATTAAATTAACTAATAAATTCTTTGAAAATATATATATATATTTCACGGATCGGATCGGATCGGACTCACGTATTGGATCGGATTTTTAATAGCCGAATCTGTGAGCTACGGGTTCAATTATTTTGAATTTGCCACCGGTCCGTGGGTGTAGCAATCTGATCCGATCCGCACAAATCGGACCGGATCGGATCGGATTCATAGATTATTTGCCCACCCCTAATTTATATATACACATGTATAATATCCATTATATTAATGCAAGGATAAAAGGGGAAAATAACAGTCATTATATTTAGTAAAAATGCATGAACCTTTCCCTGCCATTCATTTTCATTAAATAATATTATCATATATGCTAATATTTTTAGTTGTCACTTGTTAGATGACCAATTATATGGGTATTCCTTGTATAAGTTACTAAAACACCTTTTTATTTTGCTCCTATAATTCTGTTTCGTTCAAGTTTGGGAAATTCTGTTTATTTAAAATGTTACAATTTTTTTTCTTAATCTTTCGTTAAAATAATAATGACATATCTTTCTCAAAGTAGAATTAATGTAATAAAAAAATTAAGAGTTGAAACAACTGATGAATAAAATAGAGAAGCAGCAGTGATGAATATTGGTAAAAAATAGATTGGTTTTTCTTATTTTTTGGATTGTATTCCCCCCCGAATTCAAAATTAGCAAAAGTCTTCAGTCAAATTTCTGTCAAAGAGACATGGGTGGTGTAATTGTATGTTTCTGACTTCTCAAGGCTTAAACACAAGATGGGTATGTTGAATCGTCGAGAGGGTCTATAGTTAATATTGTATAATTTATTTTGTTTTGTACATGAAATTCTAGTTATCGGATCTGCTTTAAGATATCTAAATTTTTACTCATCATCCTTGAGGTACAAGGTTTTTGGTCCCTAGAATATTTATCATAGAAGTTTCACTTAATTTTAAATGATCTTGTATTTCTTTGATTTTACGCAGGAATTTATTCGCCGTTGTTTAACATATAACCAGGCAGAAAGGCCAGATGTACTATCTATTGCTCTGGATCCATACCTCACATACACAAAGAAATAATACCCAACCAATATACACTGAAGATGGGGCACCTTGGCCTAAAGGATCATGACAGTAGAGAGTTCCCTTTTTCAACATGAATCGAGGAGATATACCATAATACACAGAAAATTTTGTATAGGTTGTAAAGCTTCTTGTAATTTTCTCCTCCCTGTTTTTGTACCCAAAACTTAGGGTTCTGTTTTTCTCCCTCAGCATTAAGTCTCATTCGTTGCCTGGATTGTGTTCTGTTGAAAGCAACATTTCTTTTTCTTCGAAAAACGTATAGAAGGAAGAAAAGAAGTAGACTGTATTGGATGTATTCATAATTTATGTTTTAGATAATTTATTTTGTATGTTCACAGTTCATTCCTTGTTTTCGTAGTTGTATATTAAAGTTATACCCTTTCTTATATTCAGCTAGACTTTATCTTCCAGCATGAAAGAGTACACTGGCCTAGTGGCCTGTAATATCTTGCATTTATTCTTTGCCTCTCCAGATAGGTTGTAATAATTTGGTTCGAACTTTAAGGTCTGGTTCCGGTTTGAACCAGACCCAAACCCAAATCCAACTTATGTTCATCGGGCCTTTTGGGATTTGATATGATGGCATAATGCCCATGATGAAGTTGAGAAAGGGTAGATTCGTTCCAATTTTTTTTATCATTAGAGGGAGATAAGGTTCATTTGGGCTACTTTATCCGCTTATATGGTCTGCTTTAGAATTTTGGACCCGGATCATTTGGGCTGATTTTGCATTATATGCCATATTGACAGATCTGCTGGGTTTCGTTGAACGGCTTGACAGTTGACACTCGATCCATATACAACCCATTTAATGTGGGTTTTGTTAACCCGCTTGACCTGATCCGTATATGACCCATTTTGTGATCCATTTTTGACTTGCCCAAGCCCTTCCATTTGTTAAGCCTAGAGAATGTCGTCCATTTCTTTTATTAATGATAATAATAATAGACTACCATTTTTTTTTAGTCATTTTGCTCTATCTGTTTTTATTTATTTATTTTGAATGGATCACAAAATGGGTCATATACGGATCAGGTCTTTTGGGATTTGATATGATGGCATAATGCCCATGATGAAGTTGAGAAAGGGCAGATTCATTCAATTTTTTTTTATCATTAGAGGGAGATTTCATTTGGGCTGCTTTTTCCGCTTATATGGTCTGCCTTAGAATTTTGGACCCGGATCATTTGGGCTGATTTTGCATTATATGCCATATTGACAGATCTGCTGGTTTCGTTGAACGGCTTGGCAGTTGACACTCGATCCGTATATAACCCATTTAATGCGGGTTTTGTTAACCCGCTTGACCTGGTCCGTATATGACCCATTTTGTGATCCATTATTATTGAGGATGAAGATATCGAAGAAGAATTACAATATTGGAAGAATTCAGTTGTTTGTTATGTGCTTGGGAACAAACCTTATTATCCATATTTTAAGGCTTATGTGCAGAAACGATGGCACAAGGATGCGGTTGTGGTATACATGAAGGATGGCTTTTTTCAGGTTAGGTTTCCTTCAGAGGAGGATTTACTTCAGGTCCTATCGAGATTCCATACGTTCCAAGGTTGTGTTATTATTGTAAAGAAGTGGCATAAGAGTATTCAATTGGCAAGAGATATTTTAGAGACAGTTCCCATATGGGTGAAGGTGTGTGATCTACTTGTTCATGCTCAAAGTGGGGTATCAATATCAAAGCTTGTGTCAAATATTGCCAAACCATTATATATGGAAGATATAACCCTCAGTCACGAGAAGGGATTATTTGTTTGTGTGTTAGCAGAAATGGAGGTAGATGGAAAATTCCCAGAGATTATACAAACAAGGTTACATGGTTTCTCATGTAGAGCGAAGATTGAATACGAATGGAAGCCGCAAGTGTGTTCTTTATGTAAGAAAATGGATCATTCTGAAGCAATGTGTCCCCTAAATAAGGCTAAAGTTTCAAAGCCGAAGGAAAAGTGGGTGGTGAAGAGCAAACCAAGTGATCAAGGTCAAAAAGATTTGGTGCTATTACCAAGTATTGTTAATCCAGAAGATGCAGTAGAGGATTTGGAGGGTTTTACAGTATAGAAGAAATCAAAGGGTAAATCTAAAATAGGCCAATTAGAAAACCAAATACAGGTTATGACTGTGAATGCATTCCGGGTGCTTGGTGAAAATTCTGAAAGAAAGGTGGAGGTGGAGGATTTGACCACTAACGTTGAGATGAATAATGTTTCTTCCATGGTGGAGGTGAAAGGTGTAGAGTCTGTGCAGATTACAAAGGAGAACGAAGATTCATTACAGGCAATGGAAGAGGTTAATGGTACAGGATTAAATGATGGGCTGGGAGAAAGGCATTTAGAGATCATCAAAGGTGGAGACTCATCATCAACTGGGGACAGAAATTCTTCAAAGAAACAAAAGAAGAAATGTAGGAAGAAAGAAGTGGAGATGGATTCTAGTGTGGTGAGGATAACCAGAGGAATGATTGCAGGTGGGGTTGTGCCACCACTTTCCCTCCCTCAATGATAGGGATGTGGAATGTTCGAGGACTCAACAGGCTTGTAATGCAAAAAGAAGTGATAGCCTGGTTGAGTAGTTCCTCTATTTCGTTGTGTGGTTTAGTGGAAACAAGGGTTTCTAGTGTGAAGTTCCATAGACTAAAGGATAGAATTAGAAATAATTGGGTTTGGGTGAATAATTATAATGCAGATGCAGGAGGTCGTATTTGGAGTGGTTGGGATCCTTTAAAACTTGATGTGTCTATTTTAGAGTTTAAGGATCAGATGATTTTATTGGAGGTGGGACTCAGAGGGACCAATACAAAGGTTTTTGTTACCTTTGTATATGCTAAAAATACTGCTAAGGAGAGATGCCAGCTGTGGAAAGATTTGGAGGATTCTGTTCAGAAGATCAATGGTCCTTGGCTGTTGTTGGGTGATTGGAATATTGTTAGATTTAACAATGAAAAGAAAGGGGGTAGGGTACATCCTCCTAGGGTCTTTCAGGATTTTAATAATACAATTGATAAATTATGCTTAGCTGATATGCCTACTGCAAATGGTGTATATACATGGTGTAATAAGAGGTTCTGTAATAGGAGAATTTATGCCAAGCTTGATAGGGGTCTTATGAATGAGGAGTGAGCTCTTTCTTTCCCTGATTCTCATGTTTTTTTAACTCTTCTATTGACCTCTGACCATTGGGGGTTGTGTATTAAGTTCCCAATGAAGATTGCTACAGGACCTAAGCCTTTTAAGTTTCTGATGGTTTGGAATAAGCAACCAACAGTCAAAGTTGTGGTGGCTGAGGCTTAGAAGGCGAAGTTTAATGGTAATCCTATGAAAAAGCTGTTGTATAAATTGAAGCTATGCAAACAAGCTGTAAGAAAATGGAACACTGAGAAGTTTGGTTCTATATATGAAGAAGTCTTATCTTGCAGAAAAGAGTTGGGAAATATTCAGAAGCTAATGGTTGATGATCCAATGAATGAAATATTAATACAGCAAGAAGATGAAGGTCGAAGGAACTTGGAGAATGCAGTTTCTAATGAAACTATTACATTGGCTCAGAAATCAAGAATTCGTTGGGTTAAAGATCAGGATCGATGTACTAAGTTCTTCTATCAAAAAATCAAACAACACATGGTAGGTAATAATGTGACAACAATTCAAGTTGAGGGTGAAACCAGTTCTAATCCTGTAGTCATTAATAATACCTTTGTGGAGCATTTTAAGAATGCTTTTGCTGATACATATGATAAGCGCCGAATATTGCATATTCAAGCGCCCTTAGTTGCATTAGTTAAATCCATTATTCGATTATTCTATATAAATTATCTTCATTTGCACGTTTTTATATATTTTCAGGTTCATTGGCAAAAAAGGAGCAAAAATGGTGTTTTGTTCAATCTTTGAATAGCAATGTGCTCAAGGCTAAAGTTCTGGCAGCAGTGGAATCTGACTTTGCTTGCCATTTTTGACCTATCAAACTCGAGAACTGGACTTCCATTAAAACATGAAATATTTAGAGCTTTGAATTAGCTTTCCAAATCTTTAAACGGTTCATCATTTGGAGTTCGGAGCAGAAAGTTATGGCTGTTCTACCAAAGTAGTGCAAAGCAGGTCAAGAGGAAGGAGCATACTGGTCCAACTTCGAGCGCTCGAAGTGCTTAGTTCGAGTGCTCGAACTATGGGCAGAATACTCTCCGGGAACCATCACTTCAGCCCACTTGCACCTTGTTTCCCTCATTTCTGATTTCTATCTTTATGGGTTGGTTGGAGATGTCTTTTGGTGGGAGTTGAGCCTTGTTTGGTGGGAGGGGATGTCTATAAAGGAGGAAAACCACACATAACAATATCATATCTCATCTTTGCAAGATTTTTGGAGAGAGAAAAAGGAGAAAAAGATAGAGTTCTTGAAGCCAAGGGAAGGGAGCTCGAAAATGGAGGTTGCATCCAAGCTTCTTCCTTCTTCTAAGGCTCCCATGGGTAACTAAGCCTCCATCTAGGGAGGTGATGAGGCCCCTCCCTTGTAAGCATGTTCTAATTTAGGCTATATTTTGGGGATTACAATGTATATTCTTTGGTCTTTTCACGGTCTAGAGCATTTTGCCTTTTGTAATGGATCTTCATGTATTTAAATGATTAATGTTGAGTCAATTATCTATCTTAGATGGTTTATTCTTTTAATCATATTGCTTGCACTCTCATGGTGACAATGGTAGTGAGATCATGGAATTGTTTTAATGGCATGGAGTTGGAGGACTTTGATAGATCATTGCTCAGGTGAAACCTTTGATGATTTATGCTTATTTCTTACCTTCATGTGCTTCATCATTTTATCTAGGGCTTGATAGTCTTTCATTAACGTAAATGTGGTTAAGCTACACCTTAGTTAGGTAGTCTAAACATGTTAACCTTTGATGGATCATGCTTGCTTCAGATTTAATGAACTTCTTGAGGATATTATAGCAACCAAGTGTTGCTATGTATCATGACCATAGTATATATTGTTTTTCCCCCAATTTAGCTCTAATCTAGCATGTGTATAGGGATGGAGCTAGATTCACTTCCCTAGTCCTCTTTACTTGTATTTCATCTCCTTTAAATTCTTGCAAGCTTTTAATTTATGCACCTTAATTTCATAGCTTAAGTGACAACCAACAAATCCTCTATGAACACCCCAATCATTCTAACAAGACTCTAGACACTTAGGTTGTCATAGATTAACGCAGTCCCAGTGGTTCGACTTACCCGACCAATAGCCCTATTTTACAATGATTTCGTGCTATTGCGAAGGTTGATTTTTAATTGTAATCGACTCAACCGATCAATATATGGTTTGTATTGTGAT